CGCTGGACCAGGATGCCACGGCTCAGCGGAAGTGTCACCACCCCGACACGCTCTGCAGCTAGGACGGATTCTGTCGTTGATCGATAGTGTCGATCGATTTTCCAGGCGAGTGCCGGAGCGGTATCTTAACAAGCTCACCGACTGGGACAGCATTACCATTGCCTCAGCAACGACTGACTGGGAGGGCGAAGGTTCGAATCCAGACGGTGGCAAATTTTAGACACTAGCCCTAAAGCTATTTCATATTCAACCACAGTCTGCCAGGGAGTTATATCCGTAGGCTGCCGATCAACAGCTTTCCCTGCTTTCGCCGATAAATCCCAGGCAAATACCCACGCGTAGTCTTCCTTCCTTCATCCATTCTCACACATACACACTCTCATATTCCTTCACTACCTTACATTCGGGAGCTTAGAGCTTGTTTCGCCTGGGTCAACGCTCCATTGAAGGGAATACCTAGAAGAGTACAACCCCTGAAGTCAACGTGTAGGTCGTGGTCAGATGTAACAATCGAGCTGGAGAACGAACTCCGCCGCATTCATGGACATAGCATGCAATGTACTCACGGGAGTGATGACAAAACAGTTTAACACTAAATTAAATAACGTAAATAAATCTCGTTCGTTCAGCCGTAACGAAAGGAGCAGACATCGATGCGCCTATTGCCTTCGGACGTACGCCACCATAAATCTTCTCTTATATTATTTCAGTAGCATACATACTTTTTGCAGCTCTCACTCGCAACTGATCTTTATAAATGAGGTCTTCAAAGTAAGATAATTGCACGGAGACATGGCGAATTGCACTTTTACTTTAAAAATATGAAGGATTTGTTTCAAAAAACACATAAAAATATTCGCGTCAAATGCAACCGGCAACGCTCGTTCAGTTATATCGTTAAATAGCACCTAAACAAAGCGTTTTAAGGCCTTAAAAACTACAATTTTGAGGTCTTTACTCTCAGGAGAGATCGTCGTAACTTGCAATATGAGATATTGTTGGCATTCTATTAAATTTCTGCCGGTTCGGTACTTATCCATACTACCAATACTGCGTATACGTGGAGGAATGCAGAATATATTTCTCCATGACCTATATTTCAGACCTTGATGCTGGTGGCCATCTTTGTGACGTCACGTTTAGAACGCTTAGATTCCTCTATCTTATACTGTTTATGCTTTCTGTGTATACCATTGTTTACGCAAACTGATGATGTTTATTTGCATAATTATTCATTTAAGATTCGCTCTCGCAGCAACATCTAGATGTACGATAAATACGAGTAGCTTGATACTGATGAAGATTGTTTCCTATGCGGGTAGTGCAATCATTAATTTAACGTTTTGCCATGGTATGCAGGTGATGAGTACCTAGTTGAGGAGGAAACTAGGAAACGGACCACATGTTCCCACGTAGCTGTGTCACGATACGCTTAGGATAAAATAGGGTGGTGTGTAGCATGCGAGAGTACGGGTACACTAGTATTTTTTAAACAAAGTAAAATGAGTCAACCGGAAATAAATAGTTATTTACGTAATTCGTACAGAAACGAAGGCATTTGGAAATGAGTGCGCTCAACACACTTTATTACTGTTCCTCCCTCTTCTCAATTATAGGAAGGAAGGTATTGGAATCTCAACACTTCGATATCGAATTCTCTGTCGTAAAACCCGTGTGTAATACTTTTTTCATCTGTAACTCAGCGCACATGTCAGATTCAAGGTCTATTCGAAATGTTCCAAAGATGATTAAGACTGATGCCGGTGGAAAAGATATGCATTCAATTTTGTACATGAAAATCAATTAGTATAAGGATGGATGGATAGATACGTCACGAAAAATTCTATTACATTCGAAGTTTTTGGATTGCAACTTGGTAAATACGTCAGGAGTTAGATCTCGTTTAGCCATTTTGGAGATCATTAAGATATTTTAATTTTGCGTGTACTTTACATACGGATCGTACGACGTTCTCAAAATTTTCTTGAGAAAGGCAAAATATTTTTTTCTGGAATAAAGTGCATTTATAAGTATGATTTAGTTTGGATTTTCATTAAAAACTTTGACATTTAGAAAATTGAAAAAAATCTTTTCATTTGAAACACCAATGGTTTTCGTTTACAAAAAAGTTTGAGATTCCCAGTGTAACAAATTTCGTTATTTTTGCTTTAAATAAAAGGTAGTGGGCACCAGATATTTTATCGCTTGCTTCTATTAACAGAGTTTATACTTTAAACACTAAATTTTAATAAAATATGAAAATAGAATTAACACTGAATATAATGTGTTATTGTATCCTTTAATTATAGAGAGTCAAGGATGGGCATAATATGTCATATCATTATGCATTTGTACTTACAATAAGTATTATAAAGTACATTTCAAAGACCAATGCATCTGCTTCATCAGGTACATCAGATTAACATAATTTAACCCACACCTGTTTCAAGCTAAACCGTCAGCACTGAGATAATTTGTTTTGTAATTTCTTCAAGACAGAGTCACTTGCTGAAGTAAATAAATTACATTCACCATTGGAATTTATTGTTTCATAAAGTTTTAAGAATAATGTTTCAGATATACGTCTGACACTTCTCCTAGGCTCACTGCCTGGAATTTAAGGGTTAAGAAACTCAATATTATGGGGAAATTATATTGAGTTGAGTGCACATGTGACTTCTTTGATATAATGAAAGAAGAAGCAGGCACATCGGTCTGTGAAACGTTGTACTTTATAATACTTATTGTAAATACAAGAGCACAATGTTATATCATATTTTGCCTTGACTGCCTTGTATAATTAAAGGAAACAACGAATTAAATTTAGAAAGACGGACACAGGAATAACCTTATTTAAACGACGTTTTAAGTTTTTTAAAGTAAGGATAACAGTACGATTTCCCAACATATTTTCCTGAAACATACATGTTCAGATCATGGTAAATATAAAACATTTCAATTACATTTTTAGAAACTTGCTGAACACTGAGTTCCCAATGAATATTATATATATTGTTCCAGAATGTACAGCCTTCGTCATTTCTTTAGTCTTGGAGACGGAATACTGATCTTCTTGAACCAATGTCGTTCATAGATTTTCTGTTTTTCGTATGGTAAATACGTAGTTTTCGTTATTGCATCCTTAGTGGTAAACATTTTAAGATATGTTCCAACTTCCAAGACATTTTTCAACCACATTGATTTTTATGGCTTGAATGCTTTCTACATAATTTCATTCAATAATTTGTAGATCTTTAAATGATGACATTTAAAAAACGTGTGATTGTTGAGTAATAACACTAAGACTAGGAATTGACTATATGTGGCGCATTCTCTCGTTTTTTTTCATTCAATCATTTTGCACATTCAATCATTTTTGTATGATTTCATGGAAACTTACAAGTGTATATCCTGGAGATTACTTGCAATAAACAAGGCGGTAGTTATGTTGAGTCACGTCATCCCGTATTTTGTTTAGTTTGCAGTTTCCAGTTCTTTTGTATAACTATGACTATGCTGAAGTTGAGCCATCGTTGTGTGTGAGTGTGACGCTAACTGCAGGATCGCGCGTAACCTTTCCTTTTTCTTCCTTTTCCAAACCTTCTTCCCTACTCACACACTTACTTGCACAAAACTATCCAATAAGTCAGGTAGTAAGCAGACGAAGCTTGCCGCCACCTAGTGCGATAAAAAAAGTACTTCATTAAGGGAGTGATGACTTAAGCAGTTGACACGCCCGGAAACACTAATTAATGAATAACCCTTTTCAATACATCAGTGCTGAAGGTAATTGTTAGACTGCATGGCTGAATGCTAAGCATGCAAGACTGTAGAAACCTTGCAGGCAAATTACCCCTTCCAACTCATGAGTGGTGAAGGTAAGTGGTAGACTGCGTGGGTGAGTGCCAAGCCGAGAAGGCTGTAGGAACCTTGCAGGCAATGTTACACCTTCCAACTCATGAGTGGTGAAGGTAAGTGGTAGACTGCGAGGGTGAGTGCCAACCCGAGAAGGCTGCAGGTACCTTGTCGTCCGGCGCAGTGCGCCTGCAGCAGCAGCAGCGCGCAGGCAGCCAGCATCGGCCACACGGCGGCAGCGGCGGCGGCGGGCGCCCGCCCGGCCATCGCCCCTCACATCGCCCCTCCGCCCTCCTGCAACACACACACACGCACGCTGTTCACGGCCGCTCTACACGACTCTTGAGGAGGAGGAAAAAAGTCAGTTACTTTATATTCGATTCCACACCAATCCAAAACTTTGGCCATATGTTACATCCACAGTTCGCAGTTGATTTGAGTTCTCGTTTCTCTTGGCGAGTTATTTTACTACCTCTTGCAAATGTGAGGTTACTGAATCTAACTTCTGAAGAAATCGCGCAGATAATCTTTCCCCCTACATCATGTACAGTTTTTACTGTTTTTTGACTAAATAAATCTAAATCTAAACCACTTCCTCTATTCGGAACATTTCCGCTGTGCACCCGCTAAAGCGCCGCAACCACAACCGTCATTCTAGTAATTTGTTTTGCCTTTCTCTTTCTTCCCTTGGGTGCTGTGGACTGTCTGTACTTCCACTTTGGCAAGAAATTAGTGGTAAACAGGATAGCTGCATATTTCAGCAATGAGACTCCTGCCGATTTCGGAAGAAAGGTTTCGAAATCGATGGGTGATGATGAGCGTGAGACTGTCTCTGTTATCAAAATAAATAGTCAAGTAATAGCAAACTTTTTAATATATTTTAAATGTTTACTGATTGAGAGATATTTACCATCTGCAATGAAAAATGAAAAAAAAGAAAATTAAAAAAAATGTCTTACTTCCAACAATATTCTCTGACTTTTCCCCTTTCTCCGGATTTGCAAAAAGTGACCACCTAGTGTGAAACTTTTCTAAACGGGCACAACCGTTGACAAGTAATTTTGTTATTACGGATGACTTGATATAACAGGTTATTTGGGAAAATAAAATCAACTTGCCAAAGCTGAAATCTGTAGATCTCTAAGATAAAGTGTTTTGTAACATTCTGAAAATCTACAAAATACGAGGCATAAAAGTACATAAAAACATTTATTTGGTAAATATTTGAGTTTTGGCATGAAAATGAGTTTATGTTTCCCCTTTTTAAAAAAACTGAAATTTGTTTTTAATGATTGATTTACTGTCTGGTAATGCCAGCATATTGAACAGATGGCTCCAAGTAATTCCCGAGGGCAACGGGGCTTCTAATCGCAGATCATAGTCAACTTCGGCCCTTATACAGCGTGCTACTGAATTGGAGTGTAATCTCTTAAGTGATACATAAACCAACAGTAGCAATTGTTTTTAATAATGAACTGTGAATCCAATCCATCCGACTTTGGATTCGACCAAAGCAAAGCAGACGACGTTGCTTGTGTATAATACATGCCCTCCATGGAAATTTCGAATGACGTATCACCGCACCTAGACATCACAACTACAGAGATCATTCTAGGGAACTAGCCTCATCCACTCTATACACTCAACTCACCCACGCTATCCATAAGCTGTCAGCACGGTACAGAACTCCCGCTAGAAGACCCTGCCGCTAATGGAAACGAGGTCAGTACTCTTGCAGCAGCCCCCAAGTCTTCAAACCTCCTAGTAACTCTTACTCAGATAACATGCATAGAAATGGTAAAAGTCGGCTCGATAGATATACTCTTCAAAAATTAACAGTTTAGCGGCGGATTTTTAGGCACGAAAAACTGTAGACATGGGCAGGCAAAATAGGTATTTAAAAATGTAAAATGGCCATTTAAGAATACGTAACAAGCATTTAAAAAGTCACTATATATTTTTCTTTACCTTATTTATGTAGCTGTGTAGAATGTTTCTGAAGTAAACATAATATAGGTACTTTCATGGAATGATTGCTTACATCATTGTTTCGAGAAATTCTCATAGAAATCCTTTCTATTATTGGGCAATTCTGACTAAAAAGGCTGAATTGCAGTAGCTACTTGAACCATTTTCATTTTCATTAAATGAAAACTCATCCCCCAACATTGCACAGTACGATATTTTCCCTCGTATTCAACATAATCGAAAACATTGTATGATTTGTTTTTATTACCATTCGCCATTTAATCGCATTATCTCTAAAAATAATTAAAAATTTGCATCTTTCAAAAATCCAGATAGTTTAAAAAAATGAGACTAGCGCCATTCTTTTAAGACTTGTCCTGTGCGTGGAAAAAATTGTAGTGCTTTTTGAGAATGGTTTTGTATTTTGCATTCATTTCTAGAAGAAATTCCAGAAAAGCCATTAGTTTTCTTAAACAAATATACATGACCTTTTTTAAAGACCTGATTTTTATTTTCTCGCTAAGGAGGAGAGAAAAAGTTATGTAATGCTGCGCGAAGAAACGACGAATTTTCGGCAGAAAAACTCTTCTAACAGGTTAACTGGATAAATCCAGTTGCTAAATTTAGAAAGGAAATCTTCTAACACTTGGTGTAGCCAGAATCCATGCTTTGCGGGTCCTTAATAGCGAAAAATCATGTGACGGCAAATCGTGTGTCTGTCCGTCCGTCTGTGAATAACGCTAGCAGCTAAACCGTTCAGCCGATTTTCTCCAAAACTGATATTCCCCTATCGATCTGGCTGATGTCATAAGGAATGAATTTGAAGCCGATATTTTAATTTTGGAAATTCACATTACACAAGTCTCTGGAACATTTTCCAAATTTTACACAATAATAACTTCATCGTTTTTTTATTATTATTTTTTGTTGGATAGTGTGAAGGACGTTTAAGAGAATGGTTCACTTCTTGTTTTCGTTAAAACCCCCATTTTTTAACTCCAAGAGATCATTTTTTTCGGAGTCTTCCTGCAACTAAAATAATAACTTCCTATTAGTACAATTAAAATAAACGTCATAAATAAATTTTTCCCGTAATGAAATCAGTTCCTTAAAGATAAATTTTGAAATAAGGCCATGTTCAATGTTTCAAAAATTTGAATATTTTGTAACTTTGCTTGAAAATAAGGGCGAGAAAGTAGGTGTCTTACTACCTCTAGTTTAGAAAAGATTTTGTTTAAGACAGAAATCTCTGTATTCAGTATTGTATTTTTGCGATGTTAAGTTCTTGCATGTTTCAGAATTACAGTGTTTCCAAAAAATGGGACCGGAAAGAAAGGAAAAAAATTAAACCGTTGTTTGAGAAAAAATTGTTTAAAAATTCTTTGTAAAAAATAGTTTCACCTCCGGTGATTTTGGACTATTTGTTAATACGTAATACTCGCATTGTAGGGGCAGTAAAACGAAACAAATATTTATCGATAGTTGTTCGATTTCTCTGCACTCTTCAGCAAAAAACGAACAATTTTTTAAATTTTTGATTAAGGATAATTCCATTTTTATCAATAAATACAAGAATAGGCAACATTTAGGCATTTAAACGCAAATGTGCATTTATTACTGAGATAGGCATTTTAGACACTACAAAATTTGCATAAATACTCCTAATTTCTCAAAATGAGTAAGTATCCTAAAATATTACGTTTTTTCTTAAAGGGAAAAAATAGGCAAATAAGCAAAAATCCGCAGTTTACTAATAGTACTACTAATAATTACACAGTCGCAGAGAATAACAGATACGCCCCGCTTGAGAAGCTCACGCACAAGAAAATAAAAGATTCAGATACGTCAATGACACTCCTTGCAAAGTATCTGAAAATGCTAGAATCCTACCCTACGTCAAAAAAATTGCAAAATCATCGAAAGTAAAATAGCAAACAAGTTCACTACAATTTTAATAATAACAGTAATAATAATAGTAATAATAATAATAATAATAATAATAATAATAATAATAATAAATATAATTGAAGTAATAGAACTTGAAAACGATGGTTCTAGATTCTCTCCCTTGTCATATCTGTCCTTCAGAATGGACCGCAAGTACAGAAATAATATGAAAATAATATGCCCTTGCACTAGCCCAAAAACTGGAAATATTGTAATACTTGCATAAAATGATTGAAATATATTTTAAATATCTCAATAACTAGTTCCTAATTATAAAGTTTTGTTTCAATTGCATTGCAATTTATTCTGGGGTGTGTCCACTGGAGTTCTGCATGTAACGGAACTGCATTAGTATACAACTGGTAAAGCCTGGGTGAGCTTTATGAATCATTAATGCTCGCGAGGACATTATTTATACTGTATCATATCTCGTTTCCGGTCAATAAACAAACGTAATGGACTAGTAAGCCATAAAATAATACATGGCTCTCGAGAGTAAAAGTATTTTATTGCGTTCACGTTAAAGCATTGTTTACTATTAATTTTAGATCCTGATATGATTCTTTAGCCGCACGAAGCTTTTACATCAACTTTAACTCCCGAGGGAGTTGAAGAAAAATAACATGGTTAACAGAAGTACACAATATCATTTGACTGCAAAATGAACGGTATAATTATCATGCCTGACTTAATTTCTTCACCGTGTTTACATTTCGGTACGTTATTTCAGAAACATGAAATACACGATATCGTAGTAATATTACGTAGTGTAATAAATTAAAGATTCAAATTTCAGGCTATCGAAATCAAGTGTCTTCCTTACTATTATTGAAATATTTATAAGGACATAAGATAAACTAAAATGAATAATCTGAATCATAAATACGCCTGTATTAAGAACTTTAATCTCAATAAATTATCTCGATAAACAAAAAAATTAAAAAGCTTATACATATTATTATATATTTATTAAAAATTATTATCATTTTGAAAATGAACTGGAAGGAACTATCGGGAAGACATTTTCTTCAATTTGCAAACGGAACTATGTGTATTAATTCTCACCCAGTTTTATTGCTGACGTTACGAAAAAATAATAAAAAGAAATATTAAACAAATACTAGGACCGCTAGGAAGATTAAAAATCCTCACATTAACTTACTCCATACCTAACATGACACCCAGTTTTAGTTCTTGGCATTTCAATAAGTGCTCGTGGGCCTCTATCAAACATCTGCCTTTCCCGCGCGGCTCGGAGCTAACGCAAGAACGACTTTGCAGTCGTCCACATCAATGTCACGGTAGAAAACCGTTTAGTACTTCCCTAAATACATTATTTTTGCGACTATCATTTCAATTTCCGTGACAGAACGAAACGA